TACAGACTGACTCAAGGAAATTAAATAAAAATAAAAACTTCTTTATTTAATAAAAAAAAAAAAAGCTGGTATGACTACAACACTTACACAAACAGGAGAAACACAGAAAAGCACGAGGAGAACACAGTGGTGTACAGAGACATATGGAAAAGTCCAATACAATGCAGAACTGATGAGTAGTGAAAGAAACTGATTATATAGAGCAGAGGTGATTATGGAGTGGACACAGGTGTGAGTGGCTGACCGAGGGTGAAAATGAGAACTGGCAAAGGGAACACAGGTAGCAGAAACAACACGGTTATAATAAAACAAGCCTCAAAAGGTACAAAACTAAAAGATCAACTCAAGAAACCTAACAAAACCAGAAAAAATGTTGACTATGACAGGTTTCTGAACTGCTGTTATAAATATTGCAGCCAGTACTTTGTACCTGCAGGCTTATGATGTTAATATACGACAGCTTTATCAAAAAATATACAGAAGATTTAAAAAAATTTATAGTTTGACTCAAAATGGTGAAAAAAAAAGTCCTTTCTCATTCAAACCTTGGCAGTGTTAAAGTATTTAATTGCCAGGTGTCTTTTTAATTGTAGTTTTCTAATAGTTTTCACAAAATGTGTCTTTCAGTTGCTGCTGAGTGGTGATGATTTGTTGCAGCTGACCAGTGCTAGGTGCATTGCTGCTGTTCTGGTTCATTCTCCCAGTCAGTACAGCCCTGTCTTCATCAAGGCCGATTTACCTGGTAACCCACACAAACACAGCGGCGGGGATATGACATTAATTAAATATTTTCATTTTTGATTTGTCACCTGCAAATCTCTTCTTCTGCTTTTTTCTTAAATGTTTTTCATTTTTGTTGTATTTTTATTTTTGTCCATTTTCCCCCAGCTTTTATAGATACAATATTGTTCGTGTTTATTATTTAACTCCATTAATGTTCAGTGTAGGGATGAATTGGTGCCACCATTTTTTCCAATATTATTCATGTACATTTGAGTATTTGCCTACACCTAGCACCAATATGGGCACTAATCAGTGATGTGCGGTGATTGGCAGCTTTATGAGAAACCAAAAGAAGAAAGACAACAGAAATAAAACAAATGCTATTTTTTTTAATCCTCTATCTATGTTTCTCATAGATAACTTGCCATGGCGGGGTGCTAATCTCGTATGCAGTTATTTTCGGCAGGGGGGTGGACACATGGACTGAGACACGTCCTGAGCTGCACTATGCTGACAGTACAGAGAGTTTTAGAGTGGGGATGGGGGTAGGGGGTGTTTGAGACAGAGACACATCTGAGCTGTGCTGTTTGTAGTGGCAGTTTACGAGTGTGGGGGGTGGGTGGTGGTGTGGTGTTTCAGTGTGAGGGTTCTGCATGGGAAGAGGCTGCCTTTACTTTTTAGCTAGCACACCTGTATTGCGAGCCGCTGGTTTAGCGTTACTTCAGTGCCGACAGGTGGGCGGGAGGGGGGTGCGCACGGATCGGTAGACAGGGCGTTCGGTTCTGTTGACGGGGCGGGACGCCCAGCCTATATAATGGTAGGGGAAACACTGCTCTTGACAACTTTGTTGAGCATAATTTGCAGTTTGTTTGCTCAACCGAGCAGTGAACGATGCTGCAAAGTAGTATTGAAACACTTGAATGAGTACAAGTACACACACAGTAGAATTCCCAATATTGGTATTGGTGAATCACAAGCTCAGTGCTTCCCTCTAAAGTTTCTCAATATAATAATTTTCAGAATGTTGTCATAATTTTGGTGTACATTTTGATCAATGTAAAAAAAGCATTGCCTTGTGAGTAAACTGATGTTACAGATGTTTTTATTTCATTTGAGTGTATTTTTCTTTTATTGAACTTCTTTCTTTTGTGTGGCTGCATTTCTCATAGGATTTCTGTTTGACCGTCTTGCCTGTAGCAACAGTGAGATGCTGCTGTGGTCCATCTACGCCTGTTTGGTGTTGCTAACTGAAGAGCCACTCTTGTTCTCTCAGTGCCACACTGTCTACGGTGAGGCTGTTTACAAAGAGAGCTAACAGATCATCAATTTATCACCCAGACATGATGCTGAAACACAATGGAATTAAAGACCTGGCATTCCTTGAAGGAATACACATCACCACCGCATTTCATGGCAGAATTTTAAACTAAGATCATCTTATGATGAAACGTCAGTTTTGGTTAAACCTTGTACAGTAAGTGCTGTCACGCATGATGCCATGCAGTATTATAACATCTTGTGAGATGTTAGCACTAAGAGTGTGTTGAGGGGGATTATCAGCTACGACCACACCAAATTTTAGCTCAATATGTGAAAATTCAACACCAAACGGTGATCAGTTGTAGAAGTGCACCTGATGAAAAGTTTCATTAAAATCTGTCCACAGGTTCACAACATATTTTGCTGACAGTTGATTCCAATCATTAATGTCAAACTTTTAAAAATAAATCCTTAACTGTCGAAGTATCCTTAGAGTATGCATTGGGGATGACTCTCTGCTACTACCACACCAAATTTCAGCCTAAAATCAGTAAAAATTTACCGAGTTATAGACATTTTTGTTTTTTTCTTAGATTGCTTACCTGTGATGATCACGTGGATTAAGTCAGTTCCAAAAGTTAATCAGTTGTGGTCCAATGATTACTTTCTGAGAGTTTCATTAAATTCTGTGCTGTGATTCATGGGATATTTTGCTAACGCAACGGCCAAACGAACACACATTTAGAACTTCACTTTCATCACCCAGCAATATTTATCACTCCTGTGCATAAATTTTGGGCATCGATGCCTTTAAAACAAAATGGCAGGGGGCTTAAAAAAAACACTAAACAGTGGGTTAAAGGGACTAGATAAGAAACGGTGCATTTTTCTGAATAATTTTCTGTTTGCATGAGTGAAAATGGCTAATGATTGATGATTAATTGACAGGTCAAAAACCAGTGTTCACTTTAAAACTTTTAGCAGCAGAAACAGTTGAATAAACTTTGTAAAGTGGAAATCTGTGTCTTCTCCAGCTATCACGTTTATATTTCATTGAAGTTTCAGCATCACGGTTCGCTAGTATGTAGTATTATTTCAACTTTGCACTCAGTGGTATTTTATATGTCACAAAATATTTAAATGAATAATGACTAGAATGCCAATATTGTCTAAAATGTTTGAAGTGAGGGGATTTAGGAAGAGTTCATAGTGAACAAAATATAAAAAAATTATTTTTACTTCCTTCAGATATAACTATTTGGGAGAAGTAATCAGGAACCACAAGTTAAGGGCTTTATGTCAGAGTATTGTTCAATATTGTAAATGTCACCTTCTGATAAAGTGCAGATATTTCTCTATGTGAGGCGAGGGAGAGAAATAAATATAATTTTTAGTTCAGAGAAACCCTCAAGTTGCAAAGAGACTGAATGCAATCTGAAGAAATGTTACAAGTCATTTAAACTTTTATTGAAGGTGGATGTGAACCCCACAGCAGCTATTTAAAAGGAAGTTAAAAGAAATTGTTTCTCCAATTTGCAATAAATCATCAGATTTTTTTCTTAAAACCTATAATAGTTCAAATACAAAAGTAAGTTTGAAGCCATATTAGAATTTAATAACAGTACCACTTAGAGCACACATACTACTGCACAATGCATCATTTTGATATTAGTAATATTTTTTATTATCTTTGTGTGACTATAGTTGAATGGAAGAAAGTTTAGTGTTTTGGCAGTTTTGTCACGTAGGCACAAGGTGAAGAGTGGAGAGTGGTGACCAGGTGAAAAGGTCATTAAGGAGGTTTTTGTTTTATTTTTTGCTTTGCATGATGTGAGTTGATTCATGCTGCTCTGCAGACTTAATAACTGTTTGCAGTCTTTTTGTCTGGAACAGTTCACCTCACAAACCACACTGAAATATAAGAAGATAAATAAGGACACTCTCAAAGGACACACATTAGAACGCCACCAGCAGCTTCCTCTCTACGTCTCCACCTCGTTTCCCTTGAGCAGTCAAAGGAAGTGCAGCCTTTGTTGTGAGGCTTTGTACTCTTTTAATAGTTATGTGATGTTAGGGCAGAAATCTTCAGATATCCAGACTTTCAGAACATCAAAAGTCTTTAAACTCCTCATTCTTTCCAAGCATACGTACATACTGTGTAAAGTATTTTGTTATTTGTGGTGTTCAGTGTTAGATTTTCCACTGGGCATAATTTCTGCAGGCTCTGCATTCATATGCTGACTCACCACCCTGACAATGGTAGTGTTCTTTAATTTAATTGGTCACAAATTTAATGCGCCTTACTTAATGCCGGTGCGCCTTATGTATTAATTCTGGTTGTGCTTACTGACCTCGAACCGATTTTATGTGGTTATTGTGAATGCGTTGAATAAACTTTGACTTATCTGACTGTTTTGTTTCACTTAATGCACCTTATAATCCGGTGCGCCTTATAATCTGAAAAATAAGGTACAAATGAAATACACACAAAAATTCATCCTTGTGCTACTTGTACGACAGCCATGTTGTGTTTCTAATTTACTGCAACATGGAAACTGCTGTAATCAGTCTATGTTCATATCAATCCAGGACCAGAATTTAATGGCAACAAGAAGAGGTTACAGCAGAAATTCAACGCAGGCAAAATATTGCAGCATCTTTTAACCAAATGTGTGAACTGGTGTGTAAGACTTCTAGGATAGGGGCATCTCAAATGCATGAGTAAAACTTGGCTCCTACATTCTATTCTTAACTGAGGTCTTCTTTACTCTCTGTACACAAGTCAGTCCATTCAATACCTTCATTAAGTGAAACAAAACAGTCAGATAAGTCAAACTTTATTCAACTCATTCACAATAAGCACATAAAATGGGTTTGAGGTCAGTAAGCACAACCAGAGTTAATACATAAGGCGCACCGGATTATGACTCGCTGTCAATTTTTGAGAAAATTAAAGGATTTCAAGTGCGCCTTATAGTCTGAAAAATATGGAATTTCTTTTAGGGCTGGTCACTAATTTTGATACAGCAAGATGTTTACTTGGTTATGTAAAATATATTAAATTTAAGAACACTTGAGCAGGTTTAGACAAGTGTTTGTGTGTCATAACTGCCTGTTCAAGTGTATTGTTTATCTGTATTTAAGCATTTCTTTGAAACAGCATGTGAGTTGTGTGTATTTGTTTGTGGTGTGTGATAGGTATCGAGTCCCTGGTCCGCAGTCTGAAGCAGGCTTTGCGCCTGACTAATCTGGAGGTACCAAAACAAGGTTTTCTGCTCCTCACTGAAATACTGGAAAGGTGGGACTTTTACTTATTTTTAACATTTTCTTTATTGAACTTCACCTGTCCCATGCCAGAATGACTCCACAACATTAAGAAGTTTAGCTCTTGTTATTGAAAATGATTTACTGTATCCCAGCTTATATTTAGACTTTGAACAAAGAACAAGTTTTCATAAGAAGATAATGCCATCTATGAGTTAAAGTACTTTGTAAAAGCGTTCAGCCAAGTTTTTTTTTTTATTTTTTTATTTTTTTTTTTAGTAAGACTTACTAATCTTTTGAATTGGACACATGCAAGTTTGCTAAAAAAAATTCTTAAGGTCACTTATATTGTTCAATTAGGAATAAGAAGTAGCATTTTTACACAGCTTTTAGCGAAAATAGATTAAAAAAAATTGGGGCACATTGTCTAGTGTGTCCATAAAAATGGAAAAACTGGACAAATAGTTAACAAAAGAAGTCTCAGACATAAATAAAATAAAAACAGGACATGAACAGAATCTCAATGTTGTGTACTTAAGAAATTCAAATCACCAAAGAGTAAAACCAAATGTTCATTAATGAAAAAATAAACTCATTCCCTCAAAAGTGGACAAGTCCAGAAACTGAAATGCTGTGTAGTAGAGCCTGACCAATATTGAGATTTTGGCTACTGCGGATAGCAATATTGGGAGGGAAATTTACAAATTTACATGCCGATAACGATATAATGGCTGAAAATTCTTGCAACATTTAATTTTTTTTGCAGTGAAGCAAAGATTTCAGACAACCAATGCATTTTATTGAGGTCAACAAAGATAATGTTATTAACACTGGATGTCCTCAAACTGGAAGCTCAATCTGACAGGACTGGTTACTATAACTACTGACAATGGGGCTAACGTCGTGAAGGTGGTACAACTGAACGCTAACGTTAGCTTGCTAACTTGAGAGGCATGTAGCTAATGACAAGCAGGTTGGAGAATTGAAGAGAATTTATTATTGATTTTTTATTTTTTTATTTTACAGATCAGTTAAAATAAACTTACCGTGCTCTGTTCAGTAAAATATGTTACAGTATTGCTCCCTGCTTCAGCTGTGATGAACATCAAAAGTGAAAGTTAAGGCCATGACTTGAAAGTAGTCTTCATGCGCCCTCTGCTGGGTACATTGTACAATTACAGCTGGTTCCAGCTTTTTAGGGGTGAAAAGTAGAAGTGCTTATATCGGTGAATAATGGGACAATTATCACTGATACCAATAGGTCCCCAGGCATCTATATCGGCCTAAAATATTGTCCCAACTGATATAACTGTAGAGCTCTACTATGTAGTAAATGCAATCTATGTAAAAAACAAAACAAAAATCAAATAAAACTTTGAACTCAACTCTGAGAAAATACATCTAGTTACTTTGTTTTTAAATATGCAGTATGCTCAAAGCTGTATTCAGACGGAAAAAGCATATATGCGCGGACTCTACTTTTAAAATAGAAGTTCTTAATAATTATGTTAAAATTTCCATATTAAAAAATTTGTACTTTATAAATTTCTAATTAAAAAATCATAAAGGAGTTGCGGAGAAAATTATCTGTTACTAAATTAAATTTTTTAAATGCAGAAGGTTGACTACAACATTGGCTAAACCTTAACAATCAAAATAAGTCTATTAAGCTCATATCACAGTGAAGTATGTAACACAAAAATACAAAGTCTATTGATATTACCAGTAAAGGCATTTGTTGTTAGTAGCAAATTCTTAGTTTTAAAAATATTTTTCTTGTTTGACAATGGTAAAACAGTAATGAAATATTTTGTGCATAATTTGTATTTTTTATGTTAAGCAATTAAACCTTTATTTATACAGGTTAGTCTCATTGAGTCTCAAGGACTCATTTACAAGAGAGACCTGGTTTTATCAAGGAAACGATGACAACAGTAGATGACAATGACAACAGTAGACAATCTTAAAAGAAGGCATATAAATTGAAAAAAAAAACAACAACAAAAAAAACAAAGGAAGAAAATGTTGTTTAAAAAAAACCAGCTACATTATAAAGCGATGTAAAATACTAAAAAAAAAACATGTATACATGAACATGTCTGCGCTGGTTTTTGCCATGAACTTAGCAGTTGTTTAAAATCACTTAGAGGTTAAGGTCGAGAGCTTCAGGTCTTTTTGCAAGGTGTTCCAGGAAACAGGGCCGGAGTAGGAGAAGGCCCTTTTGCCTAATTCAGTTCGCACTGAGGGAACACTGCGGGTAATAATGTCCTGAGAGCGCACGCTGTAGCTGCACTCACGCAGAGACATGTAGGAGGAGATGTATGAAGGCAACAGACCAAGAGTGGTAGTGTGGGAGTGATTGCACAGAGGTTAGAAGAGATGGGCCTGTGATCGGAAAGTTGCAGGTTCAACTCCCAGGACTGACATCATCAAAATGTGGGTGGAAAAGTTGAAACACCCACACCTGCCTCCACCCTCATTTTCCCCACTCTGGGCCCTTGAGCAAGGCCCGTAACCCCCACCATCTGCTCTCAAACAGGTCTCTCTTGAAAACGAGTTCTCGTGACTCGATGAGACTACCTGTATAAATAAAGAGTAAATTAAAAAGAAGTGATTTAAAGATGAAAATGTACCAGTGAGTCTATGTAAAGTTAATGATGACCAGTTAACCAGTGAATACAGGGTGCAGTGGTGGATACGGTAGTTACAGCCAGTTATGAATCGTAACGCACCATGAAAGACAGCATCCAACATCTGCAAGGTGCTTGTAGGGGTGTTCATCATGTCACTGTAGTCAATGAAGGTAAGGAAAGTCACAGTCACAAGGTGTTTCCTAGCATTCAGAGTTAGACAGGATCTATTTCTGAAAAAGAAACCCAATTTAACTTTCAGTTTCATTAGTAAGTTTTCCATGTGGAGCTTAAAAGAGAGATGGGAGTCGACCAAGATATCAAATGTTATGAGATGGTATTGTGGTTTTGGTGATTTATTATGGTCTTCATTGGATTTACATAATCTTGTATATCCAAATTGTACTCCAAGACCACATGCTCAATTAATGAACCAAACATACAGCTCCAGCTGCACCAGCATTGTGAAGTGACCTGCTGTAAAACATGTTAAAGATGGTGCACTGGGGAATTTAATTGAATTTAAATTAACTGTCTGCAGTCCCGGATATGAAAATGTACCGACGGACTAATAAAACATTGTCCTGTTTCTGCAAGGTTAGCATAATTTTAATGGAATGCTGCCCATCACATGGTAATGATACAGGAGATAAGAGATTTAATCATCTAAAGTAACATTTTTATTTTAAAGCTTCACCAAGGCTTCAAAGTGCTGAACAAGCTTAAATTTATGTGTATGTGGGTGTGTAACTGACAGCGCCCTTGGTTAAATTACTCATTAATGTGTCGTGTTTGTATGTATTTTTTGATTGTTGCCTTTTATTTGTATGTGGGTTTGACTGTTTAATATGACTTTTTAATTGTCTCCTGTGTACATGTTTATGAGCATGTATGAGTTGTTTGGGATGTTCATTGCTGCTACTGTTGTGGCAACAGTACTCCAGTCCACAGCTGTTGTGATGCTGCTTCACACAGACAAACTGGTGACCTTAGTAATGCTGAAAGGTTAATGCTATTTCCAACAATTTTCAGTCAGGTCATCTGGACAGTTCCTTTTTTTGTGCTGAAACTGTCGACGAGGAAGAGGGCCGGCACCGAAGGAGGGGACGTGCCAAAGAGACCATCTTAGCACCAACATAACTGGTTTGTTCCACTTTGGAGTAAGCTGTTTGGGGGAAGAATCAGTTTTGTGTTGTGAGTTTCCTTGACTGATGAAGCCTTCTGGATGGAAGGTGAAACATTTCAGCACAAAAAAATAAACTGTCCAGATGAACTGTCTGAAAATTGTTGGATTGTATACCTGGATTATTGAGCATGAACTTTGTTGGTTAATGCTATTAGCTTATTATTTGGACACCGTTACCCTTAAAGAGAAAAAAATATTGTGTCTGTGTATCTGAGTTAGGGAGATTAACAGAAAAATGTCACTGATGTTCGCACAGCAGTGTGGCACGACAGAGCAGGGGTTAGAGTAGTCTCCTCTCAACTCAAAGGTTTCAGGATTGCCTCCTGGTCTGGGGCTTTTCTTTGGGGAGTTTACATGCTTCCCCTGTGCATGCATGGGTTTTCTTTGTGTACTCTGGTTTCCTCCCAACAGAATACAAACATGCATGTTAGTTTAATTGCAGTGTTTCATCCATCCATTATCTTTTACCCGCTACTTCCATTTTGGGTCACGGGGGTCTCCGGTGCCCATGTCCAGCAATCACTGTGCGAGGGGCGGGGTGCATCCTGAACAGGTTGCAAGTCCATCACAGGGCCGCATAGAGACAAACGAGACAAACAACCATTCAGTCTCTCACACGTAGGGATAGGAATGCTCGATATATACAGTACACGGTAGAAACGATAGAAATTTAGCCTACGATAGAGATCTGTCTTCTACCGGCTAACCGCAGTAATGCTGTGTCTGAAGTAAAATCAGAGTTGTCATTTTAATCGTTACTTTTTTTAGTTGAAAACTGTGCGTACTGTAAGTGGTGTTCAAGTCTGTTCTTCGAGAGCTAAGTAGCAAAGCTACAAGCTAACCACGTCCGGCTTGCCGTAGTGTTGCCATATTTGGACGCATGCGCAAAACGCAGTGTTCCGTCGAGAATTTTTTTTTTTTTCCGTCGAAAGTTAAAGTAAGTGTTGGTCAGCTTTAGAGAAACCTGCTCGCTGATCTATAAAAAGAACGCTGTGTTGTGCAATTTTACTGCGAGACCCTCTGGTCAAAGCCAGAGAGTCATTTTGTGTCAGCTCTCCTTAAAGCGGAAGGAGACGCCCACTAGAGGGTTGAGGATGAAGTGTTTCAGTGTGTACTTGCTGCTCTATTGCTGTTCATTTCTTAAGGTTGTTTTCACACCAGATAGTCCGGTAGACTCGGTTTGGTTGGGGACCAATATTCATGACCTTTTGTTTACATTTGAGCTGGTACGTTTGCATTCCCACTGCACTGTGCAGTCGAGCCAACCTGTTTGAACCAACCTGTTCCCCCACTTGCCTGTGGTGGCGCTGCACCAAGAACTAATGAAAGAAACGACACAAAAACCTCTGAAGAAGACACTTCTTCTTCTTCTGGAAATAAAAACAAAAACAGAGTCGCGTCAAATTTTAGCGGTTTTAGGAGTTCTGTTTTGTCATTTTGCAACAATGGACTCAGCATGAGCAGAAGATGAGGCAGAAGACCATGGAGAATTTTGTTTTTCACACAAGGCAGCTGACAGCTCCATATGAGGTAAGAGAAATGTGTGTTTGTTTGCCCTGCGTTGTACTCCACTTCCTGCTTGCGGAGCAGTGCCCGGTCTGCTTATATTCACACTGTACTCAAACCGTGCTCAAGTTTTCTTCTACCGGATCGAGACCTAGGTTTTAGCCTGGGCCAGAGTTCGCCTTTTTGTTCCGTGACAGAGTTCGATGGCGAGTTCACACCTCCCCAAACGAACCGGACTTCCTAAGCAAACGGGCTAGAGTTCGGGACAACAGGGCTGGTGTGAATGCACCCTAAGTGAGAATACTGGAAACTGTTAAGAGTTAACAACATATTCTTTTGTTGAAAACATATGGCTAAAACTACATTTGATATCTTTTGCACTGTTTTGCACTACAAGAAAGAAGCCTAATACTTGATTTGTTTATTATTTAAAAACTCTCTGGACCTAGAGGTGAAATTTTCTTAATTGAGATTATTTTGTGGTATAGCAGTTTTCAAAATAAATGATGGCAAAAGAACACCCTATGTTTCTTTTCATTCCTATTGCAAGTTTTATACCAAAAACATATTGTGATATATATCGTTATCGCCACCCATCACAATACAGATCATGATATGAATTTTATGCCATATCGCACACCCCTACCTTTTGACAATTTAGAGTTACCAATCAGCCTAACATGCATGTTTTTGGTCTGTGGGAGGAAAACGAAGTATCCGGAGAAAACCCACGCATGCACGGAGAGAACATGCAAACTCCACCCAGAAAGGCCCCCGTACTGGGATTTGAACCAGGGACCTGCTTGCTGAGAGGCAGAATTTTCATAAATGTAAGTTGTGTTTGGATTTTGTCATAGCTGTAACTAAGTGCCTGTGTTTATCTTGCATGGACAGACAGCCTCCAAGCATCCATCTGTTCCCCAGTGGCTCAGCGTTTGGGGCAGTTTCGGAGGTCTTGTTAGCTGGAGTCTCCGCTTCCTGCCTGTTGGTAGCCACGCAGGCTGTCAGTGCTGCTACCACTTTGTTCAGGTAAAAACAAACTTTGTAAACCTATGGTATAAATGTGACACATTGCCAATGAGACCTGCACAACTATTTGCTTATCAATACTTGTTTTTTATTGACAAAGCACAGATGATCTATTTATTAGATGAGGTCTTTCTGACTGGATAGTCTTAAAGGGATATATAAATAAAGTCTTAAGTACTCAGTCAAGTTTTCAGCCTGATGGAACGGACATTCTCGGGTTGACCAATACTGTGATCTGGATATGACAAATCTTCAACAGCTACTCACGTCACAGTTGTTCATTCCCAGCAACCAGGAGACCAGTTAATAAAAACTGTTCTTGTTTTTGCACTCCTCTGTCTGGCTTATTAAGAATCCAAAAACCCATTCCTGTCAATACTGACATATTTACGTCATGAAATTAGCATATCATGATATAATTTATTGTCCCGTGCAAGCGTTTTTTTGCTGGTATTATCGCGAACTATATGATATGGCCCAGCCCTAATCTGCATATTAAGTCACAGCAGAAGTAGTTGTCAGTTGGCTTCTTCGTTTTCTGCTTGCGTTTCTCTTAAATTTTCACCATGTTAATAGAGGTTTCTTTCATTTGATGTTCCTAAATCTTCAGACTGAACCACCAGCCCAGCCCAGTCCAGTACAAAGCATTAGTTGGGCTGATAGAGGCCATCACCAGTAAATTCCCAGAGCTACATCTGCCCTCCTCTGCTCATCGGCGAAGCACCGTGAGTTTGCAGCATTATGTTTCATTCACAAATATAGATTCAGAGTAGATTGGATGATAAGGTAGCTGTATGTGCTGTTTATTCATGCCTCCTTGACTGCCATGACTAATAGGTGGACTTAACATCTGTCTTCAGAAATGTGGGGTGATATCTTCTGCTGTGCATCAGGTGATAAAATTACTTGGTGTAAAGCCCTGAATGACTCAGAATCTTTACTAATTTAGTTCTTTAGCTATTTTGTCTCGTGCAGTTTAAACTCACTGTTCATGAAGGACTTATTTCATATATTTTATTAATATATTTAAATAAATTTCTTTGAAGGTTGGTAAATAAAAACAAAAAGGCACCAGTATGCTTTTGTTAGAGACTACCCATCTGAATTCACTTTTTATTTTCAAGGATTTCAACTTGGTGTGACTGAAAACCAGTTTTAAATTTATGGTGGGATTAATTAAAATGTTTAGTTTAATAAAGGATGGTTCATTGCATTATTTGATAGACATGATCATAAAGGAACCACAGAAGCTCTTTTAGTTGCTTTTAGAAAGTTTAATCATTTCACCAAAACACCTTTGAGTCACTTCAGTCAAGTAGTGATTAAACAGAACACCTGATTGGCTAAACCCCTGAGTGTCATGCGTTTCTCACCCTCTTGTCCTCATATTAATTTGCATTAATCCCATTAAAACTAAACAAACTGAATGCAATCAAGTGTTGTTAAGTGTGACTTAAAAAACTTTAGTCTGCAAGGAGTTCAAGAACAAGAATATGAACTTTCTTTTCATTGTTTTATGATCTGTTAGCAAAAGACTTTAAATGGAAGCCATAAAGATCCTTTTTATTAGCACTAGGGCCATTCAAAGTTCTCGTGTCTGGAGTAATAAAGAAATGGACTGAGATTAACTCATTGGTGAGCTGGGAGCAGGTGAGAGGGGTGTTGCAGGCACAAAGACGTTCATCGAGGACGTCTGGTGGTGTGAAGAATCATACATAGTCATACAAGGGAGCTCAAAGAGGCAGACGTGATAAGTTATGATTTTAATTAAAGCAAGTCAAAAGTAATGACAGTTTAACATTTATCTTTTTTTAATGACGTGAAGCTTTTTAGTGCATTCTTTGCTACAACTTTAAAACAGTTTTCACAGTACATAATAAATCTCATCTTCTTTGGATATTTATGTAAACATCGAACAAATTTTCAAAAAGAATTTCTGATTTTTGTTTTTATGTCACAAGTCCGAAAAAACCTTTTTAACTATAGTTCCATAACGTGCTTTAAGTTTGCAAAATGTGAACAAATCTGTACAAGATGATGTTAAAGTAACAAAATTAAAATTAAAATGAGGACAAAACTGCAAGTCTGGTTGTGTTTACAGGTCACTGAAGCAACTATTTATGTCCCAGTGTTTAAAATAAAACTAAGAAAGAACCTTTTTTTTACTACTTTTTGGTAGTAGCTTTTAATTTAAGTGAAATCAGCTTAAATAATACATATTAAATAGATAAAGCTAATAGATTAAAAAATATGCTAATTACTGTCATTTAGCTTTTTGAGCTGATTACTGCATGTACATTTTTTGTTTTCTTTCAATATAAAAGTCAGGGTATTTTAAAATAAATATCCGCTGATATCCCATATCTGTTTAACAGGGAAAAAAAACACAGCTTCATGACATGAATAAAGCAACAATGTACTACACCCATGTCATAAATTATGAATACCGTACACAATCATTTTGACATTGAGTTGTTTTATTTGTATTATTTAAATAACGCAATGGTCTAGTATTTATTCATTTAGCTACCTGCAGGCATTGTTTGGGCTTCTTTTCCTCTTAAGACGACCTGCTTTTCCTGTAAAGCCGGGGAATAGTTGTGTATCTCATGGCCTATGGCTATGCACAATGGTTTTGAATGAAAACTGTTTACGGTACTTGCCTAAAGTGGTTTAAATCACCTCTACATCCACTCTGAGAAGGTGCTATTTAAGAGACTGAGCTGGAAACAGCACCTCAGACAGAGGAAGTCTTATTTTTTTGCTTTTTTTTTTTTTTTTTTTTTTTGAATGTCCAGAGGACCAGATTGAACTTTTTTGGACACCTCTACATTGTTTTGGAAGAAAGAGCAGGACTTCTTGGAGAAAAAGAATGCAGTTACAACCTGCTTTAAAAATAAAACAAGTCAGAAATATTTATGAATGTTTGGTGGTTACAGATTTAAAATTTTGCTGTTTATGTTTCAGGGTAATCTGAGGAGGTCCAATCCCAAAAGCCACCCCTTTAAATCCAAAGAATATCTACTAAAAGCACTTGTCTGTTTTCATGCAGCATGCAGGTCAGAAACTGTTTAAGAAGTTTAATAACACGAAATTTTTAATATTGAATAATAATAATAATGTCCTAATGCTGCTCAATAATCCAGGTAGATAAAGCTAACAAGTCAGGTCCTCTGGACAGATTCTTGTTGAAACGTTTGGTGAAACGTGGTCACTCTTTCAGGGATGAAGATGTTCACATCCTTGATAGAGAGGAACGATGGTTTGAGAGAGGAGTAAAGGAGGCCATCTTTGTGAAGAGAAATCCATCCATCCATTTTCTTCCGCTTATCCGGGGTCGGGTCGCGGGGGTAGCAGCTGAAGTAGGGAGGCCCAGACTTCCCTCTCCCCAGCCACTTGGGCCAGCTCCTCCGGTGGAATCCCGAGGCGTTCCCAGGCCAGCCGAGAAACATAGCCCCTCCAGCGTGTCCTGGGTCTTCCTCTGGGTCTTCTCCCGGTGGGACGTGTCCGGAACACCTCACCAGGGAGGCATCCAGGAGGCATCCTGACCAGATGCCCGAGCCACCTCAACCAGCTCCTCTCGACGTGGAGAAGCAGCGGCTCTACTTTGAGTCCCTCCCGGATGATCGAGCTTCTCACCCTATCTCTAAGGGAGAGGCCAGACACCCTGCGGAAAAAACTCATTTTGGCCGCTTGTATCCGAGATCTTGTTCTTTCGGATACAACCCAAAGCTCATGAACATAGATGAGGGAAGGAACATGGATAGATCGGTAAATTGAGAGCTTCGCCTTTTGACTCAGCTCTCTCTTCACCATGATAGACCTGTACAGCACCCGCTTCACTGCAGACGCTGCACCTATCCGCCTATCGATCTCACGTTCCATTTTTCCCTCATTCGTGAAAAAGACCCCAAGATACTTGAACTCCTCCAATTGGGGAAGGACCTCCTCCCTGACCCGGAGAGGGCACTCTACCCTTTTCTGGCTCAAGACCATGACCTCGGATTTGGAGGAACTGATCCTCATCCCGGCCGTGTTGCACACAACTGTGAACCGCTCCAGCGAAAGCTGTAGATCACGATCTGATGAAGCCAATAGGACCACATCATCTGCAAAAAGCAGAGACGCAATCCTAAGGCCACCAAAACGGATCCCCTCAACACCTTGGCTGCACCTAGAAATTCTGTAAGGGCAACCTTGGCGGAGTCCAACTCTCACCGGGAACAAGCCAGACTTACTGCTGGCAATGTGGACCAGGCTCTGACACCGGTCATACAGGGACCTAACAGCTCGTATCAAAGGGCCCGGTACCCCATACTCCCAGAGTACCCCCCACAGGGTTCCCCGAGGGATGCGGTCAAACTCCTTTTCCAAGTCCACAAAGCACATGTAGACCGGTTGGGCAAACTCCCACGCACCCTCCAGGACACTGCTGAGAGTATAGAGCTGGTCCAGTGTTCCACGATCAGGATGAAAACCGCACTTCTCCTCCTGAATCCGAGGTTCGACTATCTGACGGACCCTCCTCTCCAGAACCCCCGAATAGACCAGCTATAGACCAGGGAAGCTTAAGCGCGTGAAGAGAAATCGTCCATCATTAAACAGGGATGGAGGCCTCTGTGTTCAATTGTCCCCCTCTTACAATGCAGTTATTGCTAGTATCACTCAGCCCCCTGTGAATAGTAAACAGCCATCAGGTCACTAATGATCAATTGTTAGTCTAATGGTCTTCCTTTTACATGTGAACAGCTAGTTCTAGCTGTCAACAGCAAAACTGGTTGGTCCACTATGTTTAGCTCCTCATACTGAAGAAGTCTTTTGGATAAAAGACAAAACGTTTCAACAAGATCTTCAACAAGATCAATCTTTCCAGAGGACCTGACTTAACCTTGTTAGATTTAATAACAATAGTTTAATTAACAAAGTTTAATAATTAGACACATTAATTTTTAATCCAAAAAAGTTCAATCTGGTCCTCTGGACATAGAAACGTTTCGTCTCTCATCCGAGAGACTTCCTCAGTCTGAGGTGCTGTTTTCAGCTCAGTCTCCTAAATAGCATCTTCTCAGAGTGGATCAACCAGTTTGATGCTGACAACCAAAACCAGCTGATCACATGGTCAAGAAGGACCATCAGCCTAACAATGGATCATTAGCACACTGATGGCTGTTTACT